TTGAGTGCACCTGGGAGCCGAGGCATGCCCGAATAAACCTCTTGCTGATTGCATCCGCACAAGTGGTCTCGTTGTTCCTTGGGGAAGGGTCTCTTCAGATTGAAGGACACCCCAAGACGGGGGTCTTTCATCTGGGGGCTCGTCCGGGCAATACATAGTGTGTTAATATTCAATAACATATGTCAATACATAGTATGTTAATATTCAATAACACACTATGTCAGTATTCAATCATATTCACTACATTCCACCCCTGGTCACTGGAAGTCAGAGACAACCAGCAACCAATGTCAGCATATATAAAAGATATTAAAAATATAATGGCACATTTATAAAATAAATTAGCCATAGTATTAGATGCAACTGATATTAATAAGAAGTAATTAACACTTGCGAAGGGGATTGTACCCCTGGGTGTCAAGACATGTACAAAAATATTTCTCACACTGTTGTGAGGTAAGTGAGATTGTTTCCCACCAAATTTGAGACATGATTTTCCAACCTTTTCTTGCTGAAATTCGAGTAGTTATAAGAAAATGTTTAATTTGCTTTACAGCTAGCTTAACCATAGGTAATATGGACCTCTAAGGTCCAAATAAGCCTACTGGGATTGCTTTGCCTATGTATAATCACTTTATTAAGAATAAGTATATTCACTTTGCCTTTATATAACTATAATATACTGGATCCAAAAGAGACTCCAAGACACCCAGTTAAAGGACCTAGGGACTGTTAGGTAAGTTAAAATGGCAGCTGAGGCAAGAGAGAGCAGCATGTGACATTCAGGCAAGGGAAAGGTTTATGTGCAGGTTGCCTCTGGTCAAGTTGGAAACCCAAACAGCAGGAATAAAAAAGGGTCAAACCACAGCCAGGTCATGACTTACCAAGGCCAGGGGTGGAAGGTGTGGCCACGCTGGATGCGGATGTGACCTCAGGGTGGGGGGAGATTACTGCCTCCAAGTGTGTCGGTTACCTAGGTGACTCAGGTACTGGGTAGAGAGACTTAACCAAGAAGAGAGAGGAGTCTTCTCCACCATCCCTGGGTGAACCTTACAGGGACTTTATTATAGCCGCATGGGGTCCACTTCCCACTACTGGGAAGGTAGGAGAATGGCCTTGAGCTCAGGGTAGGACGGGTTTTTATAGAGGTAAGATTACATAGAGTTGCATAGATGAGCTACCCAAGGCAGGTTTGGCACATTTTCATTGTTTATAGTTACATGAACTTTAAATTCATTTGTTCTTTATAGTAAATATCATATGTAATAATTTGCAATAGGCCACCTATAGTGGGATTACTCAGTGGTGGTCTTCAGTTGGTGGACTTAAGGCCCTGTTACTGAGGCAAGCCAGAAAGGTTACAGAAGCAAAACAGCAAAAACATAGCTTTGAGTCATAAGAGCATAGGCAAAACAGAATCTTGACTTGGGTCAGCATAACTGATACTATCAATGCTATTGACATTATTATAGAAATTATTTTTATTATAAGCTCCTGACTAATACAGCAACTCAGTGCAGCTGGTGATAAACCTCAAGGTTGTCAGTAGCCTTCTGCAAAGCTGCCAGCTTGGTAAACTGAAGTGAGGGAGAGCTATTCTTTTGCTTTTTAACAAGGATGGATAAGGGGTTTTTCTTTACCAAGAGTTTTTGCCCTTTATCAATAGTTTTGTTCTGTTTTCTTTTTTTTTTTGGTCCGGTCATGGGGCCTGAACTCTGGGCCTGGGCACTGTCCCTCAGCTCTTCAGTTCAAGGCTAGCAATCTTCCACTTGAGCCACAGCGCCACTTCCGGCTTTTTTCTTTTTGCTTATGTGGTGCTGAGGAATCGAACCCAGGGCCTCAGGCATGCAAGGCAAGCACTCTACCACTGAGCCATCTTCCTAGCCCTGTTTTCTTATTTCATATTTTTGTACCCATGGATATTCTTTTCCCAGGGAAAAGGGGGTTTAGGGGAGAGAGTAAATTTCCAACAGCAGGAGGGACTGAGGCCAGACAATAGCAAGAACTTTCTGCCAGTGAATAGCAGTTCAGATATTACATAACCACTTTGTTAAGAATAGTAAATTCATTTTGCCTCTGTATAACCACTTTGTTAAGTATATTCACTTAGCTTATGTATAACCACTTTGTTAGAAATAAGTATATTCACTTTGCTTATGTATAACCACTTTATTAGGAATAAGTATCCTCATTTGGCAAGATTGTTAAGACTTGGTCTCCACCCCAAAGCATGTGTTCTTGTCTTTAAAAGTGATGTGCTAGCTCTGTTCTGGGCTGCTGGACTTTGAGTCAGGAGTCCACCATGCAGTCACGGGCCTTTTAATAAATACTCCAAATTCGACCTTTTTGACTTGTGGTAAATCTGAAACCCATTAACTGAATTACCATATAACATTATCCCTGGATCAATCATAAACTAGTTCTGTGTTGTGTTTTTGAGGAATCGCTACACCGATGGGCAGAAATCAATGAAGTGAATCTGCAGTTTTACATGGCCCTCAAATGCCTCAGGTGACTCACAGAAATGACTAAAAGAAGCACTGACCACCCCCCTTCCCTAGGACAATATATATGTTTCTCATAAAGCAAACTCTTTATAAAAGGATTATCAAACATCCCATTACTATTTCTTGAAATAAGCAAACACTCCCAGACAGCATTCAAAGAAGACTTTTGCAGTTTTTTAAGATCTCTGACCTGATGTAGGGGCATATTTTTATTTTTTAATTTACTTTATTGTTATTTACAATTACTGTTTTTGATTTTTGTCTCTTTCTTTCATTCATTCTTTCTTTCTTTTTCTTTTTGCTTATGTGGTGTTGAGGAATCGAACCCAGGGTCTCAGGCATGCAAGGCAAGTGCTCTACAACTGAGCCACCTTCCCAGCCCCTTTCTTTCTCTCTTATTTACTGTTTTTGTTTTTTTGTCTCTTCCTTTCTTTTCCTTCTTCCTTCCTTCCTTCCTTCCTTCCTTCCTTCCTTCCTTCCTTCCTTCCTTCCTTCCTTCCTTCCTTCCTTCCTTGCTTCCTTCCTTCCTTCCTTCCTTCCTTCCTTCCTTCCTTTCATCAGTTGTGAGGCTTGAACTCTCTGGGCCTGGGCACTGTCCTTCAGCTCTTCAGCTCAAAGTGAGGGCTCTACCACATGAGCCACAGTGCCACTTCTGGTTTTCTGGTAGTTAATTGGAGATAAGAGTCTCACAAAGTTTCCTGCCTGGGCTGGCTTTGAACTGCGATCCTCAGATCACAGCCTTCTGAGTAGATAGGATTACAGGTGTGAGCCACTGGTGCCAGGTTATAATTAGTTTTGTTTTTTTTGCATTGTTCTTATGCTTGTTTTTATTTTTGTTTTTTATTGTGAAAATACTGTACAGAGGGGTTAGAATTACATGGGCAAGATAGTGAATACATTTCTTATCCAGCATTGTAGTCTCCTCCTTTGCCTCCCCTTCCCATCCCTTCCCATCCTCCCCACCCCGTCCCCCCACCCAATCCTCCCTCTTCCCGCCCCCACCAAAGTTGTAAAGTTCGTTTTCGACATGACAACTTGTACTTATTGTTGCAACAGGTCCACCTGTATCCTTATTTAAACGACTTGTTTTTCCCCTTCCCCTCCATAAATTATACCGACATCAAATACAGTGAAAACAGGGGTTATACTGTGGGGGAGGGACATACAAAGCAACAAAGAAATAATCTTATAAATGCGTTAGAAACAAATGCATGAAAAAAAAACATTTAAATACATATCTTAGGGTTCATTTTCCTAGCATCACCTTATGTGACCTTTTCTGTTTCCTATGTTTCTTTGGGCTTGGCTTAAGTGAAGTAAGCCAAGCCCAAAGAAACATAGGTCCCACGGTTTCCCTTATTTACAATTACAGTTTTAACTAGGCCCTTGGATGCCAACCAGTTCCAAAGCCTGGGAGCTGTCCCAACACTGTGGTGCTGAAAACAATGGCACCTCAAAATGACTGGTAGCCTCTCATTAACGCTGAGTTAGGGAAATGCGATTGTTTCTAACACATTTATAAGATTATTTCTTTGTTGCTTTGTATGTCCCTCCCCCACAGTATAACCCCTGCTTTCACTGTATTTAATGTCGGTATAATTTGTGGAGGGGAAGGAGAAAAACAAATCGTTTAAATAGGGATACAGGTGGACCCATTGTAACAATGAGATGTACAAGTTGTTATGTCGAAAACGAACTTTACAACTTTGATGGGGAGGGGGGGAGGATTGGGTGGGGGGATGGGGGGGAGGATGGGAAGGGATGGGAAGGGGAACAAAGGAGGAGGCTACAATGCTTGATAAGAAATGTACTCATTATCTTGCCCATGCAATTGTAACCCCTCTGTACAGTATTTTCACAATAAAAAAAAAAAGAAAATGTAACAGTTAGGAACACAGAGTTGCTGCTAGAGGGTTAATTGGGGCAGCAGTCGTGGGGGATGCTGACAAGCAGAGAGTTGGCAGATGTCAAAAGGCTAAGGAGAGGGTGGAAATGAGCAATTCTGCTTCCTTACCTGCACCATTCAGTAGGGATGGTGTCTGCATTTGGGGCTTAAATTTGGGGCCTCAAACCTTTTCTTGGCTTTCTTGCTCACTTTGGGTATGCTACCAACTTGAGGCACGTCTCTCATCCAGAATTTTGCTGGTTAACTGGATAGTCACATGAACTTTTCTATCCAGGCTGGCTTTGAACCTGGATCCTCGCGGTTCCAGCCTCCTAAATACCTAGTATTATAGGTGTCAGTTGCCTGCTCTTTTGTGGTTTTGACTGTACAAATAATACACAGAGCAGAGAGATGGGCCCCGCTAAAAAGAGAATCTAGGATGGGTTTGTAGGACAAAGGAAAAATCGGGGAATGTGCTGAAGGGTCAGATTACACTTGAACACTGCCACCAAGCCTCCCAAAACACCGAAGGACTACACTTCCCAGAATCCTTCCCGCACCAGCTTCCGGTTTGGATCAGCCAATGAGATCCCGCGAGATTTAGAAGGCGGAAGTGAAGCGGAAGCCATTACTCTCCGGAGGCGGTCGCAATAAAAACACATGGGTGAAGGTAAGGTAAGTAACGGCTCGGTTTTACCTGTTGAGGACCGCCCTCCCCCCCCCCCCCCCACACACACACACACACTCCCGAGCCCCGTAGACCTCTCCTATGAATTCGTCCTCAGGCGGCAGTTTCTGAGACATGTTCCCTCAGTTCTGTCAGCAGTGCTGTCCAGTCCCGCTTTGAGCCCTTTACCCCGTGGCATCCGTGAGGGTCCCCGAAACTGGGGGGTGTATAGACGGAGGGAAATGGGGACCCCAAGGCCAGACAGCCAGGCTGAGGGGCTGTTTTAGACTCCGCGGCCGACGGTACGAAACGCTGGAGATGTGAAAACTGGAATTGGGTATTCAGAAAGCTCTGGTAAATCCTGGCGCCGGTGCTCTCGCCTGTAATCCCAGCTGCTCTGCAGGATGAGAGCTGAGGACCACGGTTCGAAGGCAACGGGGACAGGAAAGTTCCGTTGAAACTCTTCTCTCCAGTTAGCCACCAAAAAGCCACAAACGGAACTGTGGCTCAAGTGGTAGAGGGCTAGCCTTTAGGAAAAAATAATTAAAATGAAAAGATTAAAAGCTCTGGGGCAGTACCCACGCCCTGAGTTCAAGTCCCAGGACCCACACCATAATGAAATACCCTTGGGGTTTTCAAAGTTCAACTTCGGGAGGAGGGGGAGTCAGGGTGCAAAAGCCTGATTGAATTTAAGACATGGGGTGAAAGGGTCGCAGGAAATAAACCACTTTGCTTTCTGCACTTACCGCTGTATTCGGTTGTATTTTGGCATCTTAGTTTGGGGGCTGTTTATGTTGTTTCTTGACATAGTTTTAAATTGGAAACTAGGACATATGTGCAACAAAAAAAAAAGTGCTAATTGTCACATACACAATTTCAACAGTTAGCAGGACCAGAATAATGTGTATTCACAAATTCAGCTGGAAAGGAGATTAGTAAGTTTCAATACTGGGGCTTGACCCCAGGAGGTGTGGGCAGTGTCCCTTAGCTTTTTTTGCCTATAGCTGGCACTCTGTAACTTGAGTCAGACAGCCCCACTTCTGGCTTTTTGTTGATTAATTGGAAATAAGAGTGTCATAGACTTACGTGCCAATGCAGGCTTTGAACTGCCATCCTCAGATTTCAGCCTCCTGAATAGCTAGGATTAGAGGGGGCTTGAACCATTAGAGCTCAACTTGTTGGGTTTTTTGTTTTGGTCATGGGGCTTGAACTCAGAGCCTGGGAGCTGGCCCTGAGCTCTTTTGCTTCTACCACTTAGAACTGTGGTCCTCAGATCTCAGCTTCTAGAGTAGCTAGGATTACAGGCATAAGCCACCAGGCCTGGCCTAGCTTGTCTTTGTACTGGTAGTCGGGCTAGAAATCTGGGCATGGTGCTGGTGAGCCACACTTCCACTTGAAGCTTTTTGCCTGTTAAATGTAGATGAGTTCAGATTTCTGAACCTTGATCCACAGATCTCAGCTTCTCTAGTAGCTAAGATTAAAAGCAGGCATAATCTACCAATGGTGGGCTTTGGTAAAGTTTTACAAATATTTGCAAATTAAAGCATTTAGGTTCTGTTTCCTGTCTCCTATATTTGTGTAATTTGGAGTGGACTTCATAAATAGATTTATCATCTTTATCAGGCAGGTAATTGCATTTTCCTTTGAATTGTACACATTTTGTTTCCTTTACTGGACTGGCTGGAAATGACTGGACTTTGGTTAGCAAATCTTAGGCAGTACTGTTTTCTTTCCAATTTTAAAGAGAAACTACTATCTGCTGGAAGTTTTTCTAATAGTTTCTCCTAAAGAACAGTACTCTTCAGCAAAACAGCTTTTCTAATAAATTGCTCTAGGCCTTTATCAATTGACTTAATTACGTGCATACATCTCTATTGTGGGAAGTTTCTGACACCTCAGTTCCTGTTCAGGCCAGAGAGCTACTGGATATTTTGTTATGGTGAAATTTTTTTTTTTGGAATTTATCCATTCACCTACCAAAGTGTTCATAATTTACTCATATATCTGCAATGTTTTAGAAATTAGAAGTGTTTTCATTTTTAATACTTAATGGTTATTTTGTTTGTTTTTGTTTTTTCTGTATAGACTCTTCATGTAGACAAAGCTGGCCTAGAACTCAGGATCCCTCTTGAGTGTTAGGATTACAGACATGAGTCAGTCACTATGCCTGGTTTAGGCAATGATTTTTTTTTTTTTTTTTAACTATCTGGGTGCTGGTGGCTCACACCTGGAATCCTAGCTATGCAGGATGCTAAGATCTAAGGATGGTGGTACAAAGCCAGCCTGGGTAGGAAAGTCTTATCTCTAACCACCAGAAAAGCTGAAAGTGGAGCTGTGGTTTAAGTGGTAGAGAGCATTAGACTTGAGCAAAAAAGCCCGGGATCTGAGTTCAAACACTAGGACCAGCACAAAAAAAAGTTGGGTCAGAATTTTGCTTGTTTTATGCCATGTGTTTTCCGTTTCATAACTTCGTTTATTTCTATGTCTACTTGACTTTGGTGTTATATTTCTTCTTGCTAGAAGGTGATGGATCTGGCATCACGAGGGACGAGGCTGGAACTCAGGTACTGTGTGGGAGGCCTGCAGTTACAGATTTAAGGCCACTCAGCATTACCCTTCATCCTGTCCCCCTCACTTGCCTCATCCTGTTTTGAAGCCAAATATAGATTCTGATAAAAGTAGAATTGAATGAAAACAGGACAGGGTGACAGTTCTACCCTGTTATAAAGAGAAATTAAACACTAGGTCTGACAGGTTAATCCCCCTTTCCCAATGGCTGCCCACTGTGTTTAGCATTCTGATTTATCAGTCTGGTTTTGTGTATTTTGCAGGAAACATGTTTTGTAGCTGTTCCTAGAACGGGTGATCTGACTCCTGTCCCTCTTCAGGCCGGCAGCTCTTGGTGACCCCCTCCAGCCCTGACAAGCACTGGTGGCGGTGGGGATGGTGGTAAAGAATTGCCCAGATGCTGAGCTCTGATCTGGTTTGCACCACTGCAGAATGGGGGGAGGGGGAAGGAGGTATACAGGCCTGAGGTCCTTGTGGTGCCATCTCAGATTTGAGCCACCTTGTCCAGTGTGTTGTGTTTTAGTCTCTGTATCCCTGTTAATTTCACAGGACCTTCTGAGAAGGTTCTAGACCCTCCAGATTCTTTAGGCCCTTTCTTGATGGCCACCAAGACATTAGCCCCATGGAAGCCTAGGCAGGCAAATGTGGGTCCATTTCATTCATTCATCCTTTTGATTCATTTTCCTATTTGCTTTTTTTTTGGGGGGGGGGGGATAATTGGTTGTGGGGCTTGAACTCAGGGCCTGGGCATTCTCCCTAAACTGTTTTGCTCAAAGCTAGCTCTCTACCACTTTGAGGACATCTAGTTTTCTGGTAATTAATTGGAAGTAAGAGTCTCAAGGACTTCCCTGCCCAGGCTAGCTTCTGCAGTCCTCAGATCTCAGCCTCCAGAGTTACTAGGATTGTAGGCTGTACCACTGGCCCCATTTTTGTTGTTGTTGTTGTTTTTGTTTTTTATCTGTTAGAGTGAGACACTGTTACACTATTGTAGCTCTGGAGAAACAGGGACCAAAGCATCAGACAAGTCAAAATTTTGTGTCTTGGAGTTTATTGGCAGGTTGGGTACACGATAAATGGGAGACAACAAAAAGTGAGCCTTTGGGGAGACTTTTTATCAGCAAAAAGCAGTAAAAAAAAAACAGAAGTAGAATTTTTGCCAGCAAAAAGCCAGAAGTAGAGGTGTGGCTCAAGTGGTAGAGTGACAGCTATGAGCAAAAAAGCAGGAAGAAGGCCTGGAATTCAAGTAATTCACTGGCATTCTAGTACATTCTAATGCATTCACACTGCACAGTTTTTATATATTTTATTTTTTGGTGGTGGAACTTTCAGCCTCACACTTGGTAGGCTGGTATTCTGTCACTTGAGCCATTTTTCAGCCTTGCTTTTTTCTGGTTATTTTGGACATAAGGTCTAGCAGACTTATCCATTAGCCTAAACTGTGATCCTCTGTATCTTACCTTCTTGAGTAGCTGGGATTACAGGCCTGAGCCACCAGTGCCAGGCCTGTATGTCATTCCTCAGTTAAACTCAGACCTGCCTGGTGTCATTACTTTTACCACAGATGCCCCTTGCAGAGAGGCCCATCAGGAGGAGAGTGGCTTGCTTATTCTCTCCATGCCTGTGAGGAGAATTGACTGCCATCCCCACAGTATGGCCGCCCTGGGTCTGTCTCCCACATTAAGTAAGTGCCTGGCTTGTCACCTTCAGAAATCATAGGTCAAGGGATGTGTAGACAGAGCAAGTGGGTGGGCAGAATGAACATGGTAGGGGTTGCCCAGCAACTGACAGCCTCCAGTCTTTGGAGATCTAGGGCAGCTAGAGTTGAGGGGGTGCAGTGTCCCCATACCACTAATTGCCTGACAAAAGTGGAGCCCAGTAATTACTTCACCTGCCAGAGCTGCTGTTTCTTCTCTCCTAAATTCACTCAAAATCTTTTTGGTATGCCATGACCTCATGCGGTAGGCTGCAGGCCAAATACAGGTGACCTAAAAATATTGTAAGAAATTTCTTTCAGGCTATGTGCCTGAGATACCTGTGAAGCATCACTAAGATCCTCATTATGTACATTATGTACATACCAGTATTAGAAAACCCTCCCCCCATTCTGAAACACAAAACATTTGTAGTCCTGAGTGTTTTGGGTACAGGATATTTGACATGTGTATTGCTGCTCATGGACATAACACCCTGTTTTTATTTCTGTCTTTGAGAGGAGCAGGGCTGCTCTGCTTTATTGATAAATTGTATAAGGGGGAAAGGGTGTGTGGACATTCATAGTTGTTACAGAGAGCTGATTGTCATGCATCTTATTTCCTCCTGTAGCCATGTCTATCCAGGACCCTGCCTGTCTCCAGGAGGTAGAATTTCCTTTTTCGTCAAAACATCATCCCTGTCCCCAGAATTTGCACCTGATTGCTTGGCGTGGTCTGGAGCCTTGCACACCATCCATTGTTGCTTCTCAGGTACACAAAGGTCTTAGGGCGCCAGGGCAAGATGAGCATTTATTTCTTGGCCTGCTCCCACCACCTTTACTGGGGAATTCTTTAGATGCTCATCCAGGCCAGCAGATGCCTGGTCAGAGCCAAGGAGAGAGCCAGTGATGGTGGCTGGCTGGCTTCATATTGGAAATTTATGTAGCAAGTGTTTCTCTCAGGCTTGCTAGTGCTCAGGCCCACTTATGCTCAGACCTAGAGGCAGAGGGGAGAGCAGGCAAGAAATGCCTCAAGCGAGACATCCAGCCTTTTTTTTGAAGAATTGAAACTACCACAAGAGCCCCTCACAGTGAGAAGTTGTTAAGCTGTTTGGGGACTTGCCGCCTAGAATAGATACCAAGTCCCAGGACACATTCCCTGGAAATCCACTGTTAAGTCTTGTGCCCAGTGTTTAGCATCTGCCATATTCCCATGAATACCCATAGCGGGTTGCTTACTGTCTCCAACTGTGTGTGCTGTGGCAGGAGTCTGTGACTTTCCAGGATGTAGCTGTGGACTTCACTGAGAAGGAGTGGCCCCTGTTGGATTCCTCTCAGAGAAAGCTGTATAAAGATGTGATGCTGGAGAACTATAGCAACCTGACTTCCCTGGGTAAGGCTGGTTCCATCTCATCATGCAGGACCTAGGCAGAGACTTAGGGACAGCAAGCAGAGCTGAGATTCACCCTCCACAGAGTGTTGCAGGTATTGAATCTTGACCATCCCATTCACCTTGACCTCAGGGCATTCTCATGTGTGTCTGATGGCCTGCATAGATTTCTGAGGTTGATTGTTTTGCAGGATGAACCATGTAGGTATTTGTGGTTTCAGTTCATTAAGAAAACAAAACAAAACTGTTTTCCTTAGAAAAGTGACACCACCATTTTGTTCTTCCTAAGTCAGACTTGTTCACCTCCAGACCCAAAGAGACAAAAATGCTGACCTAGGCCAAACAGAAAGGGGTGTCCTCTGCCTGGTCCTCCCTTAGCGTGTTGTGTCTCTCCTCCTGAGCAGGGTATCAGGTTGGCAAACCCAGCCTCATCTCACACTTGGAGCAAGAGGAGGATCTGAGGACAGAAGAGTGGAGCATGGAGCGAAGTCCCCTTTCGAGTGAGTGAGCATCAAGCAGACACAAGTGCTTTTGACTTGGTTCTCATCAGTGATGGCAGTGGTGGGTGTTTATCCATTTCCTGTTTCTGTAATGAAATACCTGAGGCTTAGTAGCAATAAGACTACTAAGGCCCAGAAAAATATGAAGTTACCCTCTTGGCAAGGGCTTCCTCTAGCTGCATCACAACATAGCAATGGCATTGTAGTGTGTGAACCAATTTGAAAGGGAACTAGAAGCAGAAAGCTTCAAGACACATGCAGAAGACCTAGGTAAGGCCAGTCTCACTCTTAGAAGAAATCACTCACTCAGAGACAAATGTCTCCTGTGATGTGTAAGTGCCTTCAGAGACCTGGCACCTCCCACCATCTTGGCATGTAACAAGGCCCAGGCCTCCACCATGTGACCTCCCAGCTCTAGATTGGAGTCCACTGGGTAATACCTGCCACATAGGAAGTTTTTTCTCTTTGACTTCTGTCTCCTCCTACTGCTTCTTTGGTCTCTGTGTTTCTTAACTTTGAATCTGATATTTCCATACGGAAATATATGCTTGACTGTCTGTATGCTGTTGCTGTGTTAGCAGTGTCAGTCTTACTTGAGTTAGATTTCTTCCCCATCATTTCCAAGTAAACTACACAACCAAATTTTTATTGGCATATATTAACTATACCCGAGGAACTCACATTCCACACACACATGTAATATACTCAGCCACATTCAACTCCTTTGTTATTCCTTCCCCTTTGCTCCCTCCCTTCTGCCTAGAAGACATATACTCCACTTTTCATGGCCTTTCCTTTACCTCCCACTTGTCTGTGGGACTCCTTGATTCCTCTTAGAACACATGACAGTCTCTAGTTGCTCCCATCCATTTTCTTGAAAACCATCTAATTTTCTTTATGGAGGAGTAACACTCTGGCTATATGCAAAAACCTTTTTTTTTTTTTTTCATTCAGTAATGAACAACATAGCTTATTTAACTTCTTTGGTTATTGTGAATAGCGATTTGGTAAATGTAGGCTTACAGGTATCTCAGTAGTAAGCTGACTTTGATTAGTTTCATGTAATCCTGAAGTAGTATGGTTCGATCTTATGGAAGTTCTATTCTTAATTTTACTTTTACCTATTTATTACTTTTATTATTATTATTATTTGGTGCTAGTTCAGGGGCTTGAACTCAGGGTTTGGACACTGTTCCTATGCTTTTTTTCCCACTCAAGGCTAGCGTTCTACCACCTGAGCCATAGCTCCCCTCTGGTTCCTTTGGTGGTTAATTGATAATAAAGAATTTCACAGACTTTCCTGCCTGGGCTGGCTTCAAAGCATGATCCTCAGATTTCAGCCTCTTGAGTAGCTAGGATTACAGGCGTGAACCACTGGTGCCTATTTTTAATTTTTCGAAGGACTTGTACACTAGTTTCCATAGTGAGACACCAGTGTTTTTCACAGTTGTCTTGCTCATGCTGGGATTCTTCCCTTGTACAATGGATTTCACAGTGCACAGTTAGTGTTTGCAAAGAAATCCATCTGGTTCTGTTCCCATCGTCCTGCCATTTGCTTTTTTTCTTACAGCAAGTTAATGATTCTCCAATTATTTTCAGATTGGGAAACTCCATCTAAAGCCAAGTGGTCAATTCTCATGGAAAACATCTTTGGGAAGGAAGTGTCCAGTGGTGTGACAATGGTAAGATTTCCTTTGGATAATTTTGGATCTTCCATCTTAGAAGTGACTGGGGTGGCTGTAAATTGAGAAGTAGTCAGAAGCAGGTAATTAGAATCCAGACTTCCAGAGATGCTGAATATCACTGGGCTTTGGTACCTGTTCCCAGACCTGTCAGCATCTGAGGATGTTCAAGTTCCTTATATTAAATGGTGAGATACATATCTACATGGACCCCAGCCATGTCCTCTTATCTGCTTTAAAAATTCTCCAGATATTCAGTAATATCTAGTACAAGTATAAGTGCTATCTGAGTAGTTCTTCTTAGTGTATTTTGTACATATTCATTACAAATTCAGGGCTGAGTTTTGTTGAAATCCAGACATGGAGTCCACTGATATGGAAGCTTAACTATTGTTGTTTTGGGAAAATACCCCAGCCTTAACCCAGACTTACTCATTTAAGAGTTTGGATGAGTAAAAGTTTATATAACTTGGCCCACCTTTGACTACTGAGGCCCTGAGTCTCTATGTGAAACTTATGCTATGCTGTTTATTTTTGGGGTTTTTTGTTGTTGTTGTTATTAGGTTTTTTGTTTGTTTGTTTGTTTGTTTTGTTTTATCAGTTGTGGGGTTTAAACTCTGGGTGTGAGTGCTGTCCCTGAGCTTTTTTGCCCAAGGTTAGCTAGTGGTCTACCATTTTGAGCCACAGCACTACTTCTGATGATTTTTGTTTTGTTGTTGTTTCTTTGTTTAGGGACTCATAGCTCAGAAAGCCTTGGAACCTTGAGTCCTCCTGACTCAGCTTTCTGAGTGCTGAGATTTCAAGTATATTATTATCAGCTGCCTTTTCTCTTTAATAGAGTCAAACGAGACAGGAATATCTTCAGTCATAGTGTGATGTGAGGTGTGTCTACTCATGCTATTCAATGCTCAGATGTAAGGCTGGAGCTGGGGCCCCATGGTAGAGAATGCATGAAGCCTTGATTCAGTTCTTAGCATCAATCAAATAATTTTTTTTAATGTAATAAATGTTGGAAATGCCCAGGTCAACTCTCAATCCTGTTGAACCGACAGGAAAGGAGCCTAACTGAGAAGTCCTCTGACTATGCCAACTTATTTGAAGTCTTAAGCATGGGCCCTCATCTTCCTCAGCCAATGGGAAGTTCTGCTGTGAAGAGATCCTATCACCATTACACTTGTGGGATCTCGTTCAAGACCAGGACCCATCCAGCTCAGCACGTGAGTGTGTATGATGGGAGGAAAATGCATGAATGCCACCAGTGCCAGAAAGCCTTCACCACAAGCGCCTCCCTGACTCGGCACCGGAGGATCCACACAGGGGAGAAGCCTTATGAGTGTGGGGACTGTGGGAAAGCCTTCAATGACCCATCAGCCCTCAGGAGCCATGCGAGAACTCACCTCCAAGAAAAACCCTTTGACTGCAGTCAGTGCGGAAACGCCTTCCGCACCCTATCAGCCCTGAAGATCCACATGCGCGTTCACACCGGTGAGAGACCCTACAAGTGTGAGGAGTGTGGCAAGGCTTACGGCAGGAGCTGCCACCTTATTGCACACAAGCGGACACACACTGGAGAGAGGCCCTACGAGTGCCGGGACTGTGGGAAAGCCTTCCAACACCCGTCGCACCTGAAGGAGCATGTCCGGAACCACACGGGGGAGAAGCCCTATGCATGCACGCAGTGTGGCAAAGCCTTCCGCTGGAAGTCCAACTTCAATCTGCACAAGAAGAACCATCTGGTACAGAAAACCTATCAGTGCAAAGAATGCGGCAAATCCTTTGGGGATCTCCTGTCTAGGCGGAAACACATGAGGCTCCACATCGTAAAGAAGCCCGTGGAGTGTCGCCAATGTGGAAAAAACTTCCGGAACCAGTCCATCCTAAAGACGCACATGAATTCCCACACCGGAGAGAAGCCATATGGCTGCGACCTCTGCGGAAAAGCTTTCAGTGCCAGCTCCAACCTCACCGCACACCGGAAGATCCACACCCAGGAGAGGCGTTATGAGTGTACTGCATGTGGCAAAGTCTTCGGTGATTACCTGTCCCGCAGGAGACACATGAGCATCCATCTAGTGAAGAAACACGTGGAGTGTCGGCAGTGTGGGAAAGCCTTCCGGAACCAGTCCACACTGAGGACACATACTCGGAGTCACACGGGAGAGAAGCCATATGAGTGTGACCACTGCGGGAAAGCCTTCAGCATAGGCTCCAACCTGAACGTGCACCGGAGGATCCACACAGGAGAGAAGCCCTATGAGTGCCTCTCCTGTGGGAAAGCCTTCAGCGACCATTCATCCCTCAGGAGCCACCTGAAGTCCCACAGGGGAGAGAAACTCTTTGTACCCTCTGTGTGGAAAAGGCTTTAGTGAGTACTTGGGTGAGCTAGACCAGAAGCCTGCAGGAGATTTGCTCTAACTTTCCAGGGAGTAAGCAGTACAGGTTCTTACTGTGAATGCTTGTGCACCTGCACTATGGGGAGAACTCGAACACATATCAAGCTCTGAAACACCCAAGAAGTTTGGGGAGAGAAGCTTAGCTTAGCATTTAGTGTTGAAAACCATTTCAGTGCTTCCCATCTTCTGGGTCTATAAGGGGCCATCTCTGTCACTGTGATGGCAGGATGGTCTCTCCTGATCTCACTCATGACGAAAGCACCAAAGCACAAAGCAAGGAATGTGGCAGGGGGGCCAGCTGTCTGGAAACATTTTTGGTTTCTAGAATGGGGAATGGTGCTATGGGCACCTGGCAGCCATGTGATTATCCTGTTAGTGACCGGGAGCCCCCCCACCATGTCAGTGTTGCTGAGGCTGATCAGTCTGCATGATTCCACAGTTGTCTGCAACAACCCCTCAGGTCTTATGGTTCTCATGAACACTTCTGCTAGGAAATAACATTTTCCTTTGAAAACTTATAAATGTAATGCAGTTCTTACAGGAAGCTCGTGAGAACTTTACGCTGCTGATAAATCTTGAGTAGAAATGTTTTGTATGCATTGGAGAGGGACCCCAGCAAGTGGTTTCTCCCTTGAGTATGGGATTGCACTTAGTTTTCCCTGGTGCAAACATGCCCAAGCTCATTCATCCTTACTCTTGATGTTCATGGTTATGCTATTCATTACAAAATGTATGTATGTAATTTTTATTTTTAAAAAATTTTGCCAGTCATGGGGCTTGAACTCTGGTTCTGGGCACTGTCCTAATTTTTATTTTTTTTCTTTTATTTTATATTTTGTTGTGGGTCTTGAACTCTGGGCCTGGGAGCTGTCCCTCAGCTCTTCAGCTCAAGGCTAATAGCACTCCACCACTTGAGCCACAGCGTCACTTCTGGCTTTTTTTTTCTGCTTATGTGGTGCTAAGGAATCGAATCCAGTGCCTCATGCATGTGAGGCAAGCACTCTACCACTGAGCCACCTTCCTAGCCCCCATGTATTTTTTGTATGAACTTTTTCTGCAGCTTCATTCTAGATAGATAATTTGGTGATTAACTTACTTGACCAATGACATATTTATCACTGTTCTTTACTGGGTAAGATGGGGATTTTTCAGTACCTGTCTGTTGCTGGTATCAGATCCAAATGGGTAGTGATCCAAGTATGGAGTCTTGATCACATGGGATCCTTTGGAGTGCTTGTGGCCTGCTGTCCAGCCAGGGCACCTGAGGCTTCCAAGTGTTGCCCTAGTTTTCTCTCTTATTACATCAAAGAGGTCAGGTTCTGTCTCAGTTGAGCTATTTAGAACAGTTTCTGTTGCAGCTGGTACCATCCACTTCCACTAACAGATGAACAGTAGGTTCTGTCTACATTCTGTTTTTCTGGTCTTCCCCCTACTTGTTACCTTGCAAGGAGATCCAGGATGTAGTACTGAAAGGTCCATCTGTTAACCATGAGGATGAAAACTGCAATCTAAGAAGACAGTGCAGATGCTAATGCATTGTGATCCTGGGCTCCCTGTGGCTCTGGGTGTGTATGCCAGCGTCATATTTGTTATATTTCCTATTATATGAAGAAAAATAAAACTGGTTAATGACGTAAGCTGCTGTGGAAATTCCATTGCTTTTGTTGTTGCTTTACTGATGAGTAAGAAGAATGTTTTCTAGCTCACTGGATGGAGCCCGTGCTCATTGCTGAGGTGGTTACTGCTATCTCTACATAAACTATAATGTGGACATAAATGAGTATGGTTTTTCAGGCTGTGTGTGTTTATGTGCATGTGCACACATGCACCATTACTGGAGCTTAACTTGGCCTTTTTGCTCACAGCCCGCACTACCACTAGAGCCATGTGTACAAAACATATAGTTCTTTTATTTTTTTCTTCTTCCCAAAGCAATAAAAGCTCAGGATAAAGGGAGAATTTATACTACATTATGTTTATGCTGTTTGACTATATATATATATATATATATATATATGTTGGAGATACTTCTGGTTCTTTTGTGTGAAAGAACTTGAGCTTATGACTTTGACCTAGAACCAGTCCCTGGCAGGCAGTGCCTCTGTCAGTACTTAAAACATGACTCATTGAGCTTTTGGAGTTAGTGAAGGTGGATCTATAGCAAGGAGGTAGATGGTAAATGCTATAGAGAGGATTTTTGCTGGTAAGGATGTAGGTAGATGATGGGTTGGTCCACTAAACCTGTGCTGTGGATGGTGTACAACTGTTTTTGACCGCTTGACCTTTTCAGGAAAGGCTGCACAGAAATAACTTTGAAGAGACAACTGCAGATTTCAGGTTACCAAGCCTGCTGAGGAGAGGAAGTAAGTGAGAAGTGGATTTGGAAAGTGTCTGGAGGAATCATAAAGGTATTTTCTGTTTTGACAGCAATTACAATTTTTTTTTCTGTGAGATTTTGTGTTTGTGTGGTTCTAACTGTAAGAAGTAAAAAATACTTTTAACATTGTCTGGTTAAAACTTCAGTTGTTTTCAAGAAGAATTGGATCTATATTTTCTTGTTTTTGGTTTTTGGATTTTTGGTGCTAGGACTGGAAGCCAGTGTGGAACATGATAAGCACTTTGCCACTAAGCTTCACCCCAGATTGCTTCTTTTCTTTTTTTGTCTGTTCACTTTTATCATATTTAATCTTACTCTCTTGCTCAAGAAAAAAATAGTCATCTTTCATTTTAAGAACATAGGTGCATACTTGGCTTCAGCCAACTACTAATTTTGTTGATTTCAAATTTTTATTTTATTTATTCATTTATTTTTGTTCCTGTACTGGGGCTGGAACTTGGGGCCTTGCACTCTTGTTTAGTTTTTTTACTCAAGGCTGGTGCTCTACCACATGAGCCATACCTCCACTTCTGACTTTTTTGCAGGTTAACTGGAGATAAGAATCTCTTATCGTTGTCTAGCTGGGCTGGCTTTGAACCTCTATTCTTAGGTCTCAGGTGTTCTGAATAGCTAGGCATGAACCACTAGCACCTGACTGAAAATTTGATTTTTAAGCCAACTAGTTACTCCATCGGAGACTAAATAAGGAATCCTGTTTCCCAGAAGTTTCTCTGCTTCATCCAAGAAGATAGTAGACTTAAACTCTTCCTATGGGTTAACTATTCTTTCCAGTTCACCTGTGAGAGAGTCATCCTTCTTCAGCAGAGGAGGAGATAAGTGGGAACATCCTGATTCCTTTCATACCATTGTCACCTGATTCATCTGCTGGGTCAGAGAGCACAGTAGGTAGGTATATGGTTTTCTTCCTCTGCACCTAGTTCTTCAGTTATGCAGTTACTTGCACCTTCCTAAGGGAAAAGTGCTCAATGATCTGTGGGCTTTGCTGAAAAGTTTCTCAAGACTCATTAGTGAAAACAATAGCAATCACTTACTAGTTCTTGCCTCGAGTTAGAATAAAGGTCTATATTCTCTGGAGACCGGGCCTTCAGAAAACAGAAAGAATGCTTCCTCCAAGTTGAGAAATGGAGTAATTATTTTGATTAGGAGGATTGGGAATTCAGCACAAGTGCTCCCTCTGTGCCCAATTCCTTCATCACACCAGGTGTCTGGGCCACAGAAAGTAATGAGTTCCCATTAGCCCTGATGTGGCCCAGGGATCTTGTACCTCAGTGCATTTCCCTGCCAGTCCTCAGAACACACAAAATACTTCTGCAGTCTCTGGAGGAGACCTGTGATTACTGTAATCCAGTCTTAACTCACTCTGTGTTTTTAATTTCCAAAGTCTCCATCTGCAGTTTGTGTAATGTTTAAAGGACTCAGTTTTTACAGTAATACTTTTCTTCTCTAGGGGATCTTTTATACTTGTGCAATGAGTATCAGTTAAGTTCTCTGCACTTAGGTGTGGGCAAGAAAGAGACCCCTGAGCCAAGTAAAAGTTTTGGAAGAGAAATATAAACAGGACAATTATAAGAATAGTTCAGGAGACCCCAAGGGGTAGGTGGTGAACCAGAGGCACAGAGAAGTGTGGAAGAGTTACAGAAACTTCCAGGAGCAGCAATAAACCAGTCCTGATTCAGGGATACAGAAAAAGATGATACATAACATTACTGACATCAGGGTCCCTGAAGTAGATAATTCTAGAAGGGGCAGGAGGACTGGACAGGTTGTATAGCACATATTTACTAATACCACTGGGCATGGGCCCTGAGTTTCATCACACCCAGCAAAAAATATATATTTAAAGAAAGAGTTGAACTTAAAATATCCTTAACCATTGTGCCCTAGTACCTCTCAAATATAAGTGCTAGGTAACCTGGGATGGGAGCATGAGTAGTGGTCAGGCATCTGAAGAGGGAACCAGATTTGGGGAAGTCTGACCAGGAAAGGATAATGGCAAGCAGGTAGCTCTGTGGCTTTACTTACATTTCACATATGAGGCTTCTACAGATAAGACAGGATGAGTTTCCTTTCAGGGCCTTGTGCAACCAGGCAGATGTTCTACCACTGAACTACATTCACAGAGCTTGCTCCTTCCTAAAGTACACATCAAAAAGAGGTTCCCTGAGAAAAACTTCAGCATAGATTGGTAGCAACCACTATAGATAAGTAGGTAGGTAGATGGATGGATAGATAGGTAGGTAGATAGGTAGGTAGATTAGATAGATAGATAGATAGATAGATAGATAGATAGACAGATAGACAGATAGATAGATAATGGAGGGAGAGAAGGATGATGAATGGGTAGATGATAGACAGATACTGAGGGTGAGGAAGGTAGGAGAGAAGACCCTGGATTAATAATGGATGGATTGATGAGATAGGTAAATCAGACAAGACTGGTGTTCTGAGAATGGGGCTCAGGGCCTCTTCCATGCTAGCCAAGCACTCTACCCAAGTTCTATCCCTTTTCCCAGATAGCAAGCACCAAAGTAAGATTCAATAAAATACACAGTGAAAGGTCAATGGCAGACTGTCTAGGTGTCACTATTTCTAGATGAAGACAGGGAAAAGAATGGATCAGGCATGGGGCTGGAACCTTGAACAACTGAGAAGGTTTAGATTGGCCAGTATTGTGTAGGTATATGTTGTTTTGCTTGTCTTCTCCCAGCCTGTATACTTGAACTTGCTTTTTTCTTCCATTGGGGTTTATATGAGTTTATATTCTTGAGGAATGTTGTTACTTATTGGTTATCTCACTTTTCCTCTGCAGGAGAGCCTTTTGTTTAATTAACTGATTGAAGCTTATCAATTCTAATGGAAATGTCTCTTTAGAGCTCCCTTTAAGTCCTTGTTCCTCAGGTTGTAGATGAAGGGGTTCAGCATGGGGGTGTACATTACTGGAGCAATCAACCCCTTCCTGGAGGGGTGGGCTGTTTCAGATATGAGGTACACTC